ACTATCAAAAAAGCAAAAGAAAACAAGTGATGGTAAAGATGTGGAGAAACTGCAACTCTTGTGCACAGTTAATGAGAATGTAAAAAGTATAGTTACTAGATTTGCCATATGATCCAGCAATTCCACTGCTGGGTATATACTGAAAAAAATTAAAAAGCAGGATCTCAAAGAGATATTTGTACACCCATGTTCACAGCAGCATTATTCACAACTGCTAAAATGTAGAGCAATCCAAATGTCCAAGTAAAATATTATACACACACACACACGTACAATAAATATTATTCAGCCTTAAAAAGGAAATTCTGACACATGCTACAATATGGATAAACTTGAGTATATCATGCAAGTGATATAAACCAATCACAAATAGACAAATACTCTGTGATTGTATTTATATGAGTTACCTACAATAGTCAAAATCATAATAATAGAAAATAGAATGGTTGTTGCCTATCGCTAGGAAGAGGAAGAAGAGGTAATTATTGTTTAATGCGCAGAGTTTCAGTTTTGCAAGATGAAGAATTCTAGAGATGGATGATGTCAATGGCTGCACAACAATATGAATGTACTTAATATCACTGAACTGTATTGATAATGGGTAAGATGGTAAATTTTATGTGATGTGCATTTTACCACAATTTTTAAAAATTAGAAAAAAAACTAAACTGAAGTTGATAACATCTGTGTACCCTAATATAGTATAGAGCTATTGACGATTTAGTTTGCTTTCCTTGTCGATAAATATAGTCTGTAGGAAGATGTATGCAGATTTGAATTTAGGTTGTCACTATTACTCTTCTGGGCTTCTATTTTAATGTATAAAACTCTAACTGTATGAGCATCAATAGTTTTTCAATAATCATAAGCATTCCCTCACAGCATTGAGAAGTCTCTATAAACATAATTTTTAAAAATTCAATTATGTAGTTTTGAATTTCAGGAGTGAAACAAGAAATTGGGCATTTTTAATTTTTCTTTGTATTATCCGATCATATCCAATATTTTTTCCTGATTGTTAATGCTCATGTTAATTTTCAATTTAATTTATAAGAGGTATTTATATAATAAAATGTTAGCTCTCCATCAG